GAGCTGTGCTAAACGCAGCGATAGCAATCGCCTTCGCTGACGAATGAAGGTAGTTGACGTGAAGCTTCAAAGTTAGTGAAGTTGGGTCGGTCGGAGAAAGAGGAGCAGTCAGGTTGTGGCACACGTGAATGGGGCGTTGAGTTAGGTCAGTCAATATGACCTATTTAGTTGTCAGTTGACATAATCTCCAGTGGCATCATAAGGGCGGAAGATCGCAAAAGCATTACTAGTGACAGCGACGATGTCAGGTAAGCAAGCGTGAGAGGCCAGAAAACGCACTGTTGACTACGAAGAGATCCAGAAGAGGATGAAAAGGGCAACTCGGGGAAGATGAGGATGCTGACGACAGTTGCGGCACATTACGAAACTAGATGCACGTAAACACCATTGATCCGCTGGGTGCCACAGACAACCTTGGGAAATACAAAACAGCCCACTGAACAGTTAAGTTTAGGAAATGGATGGGTCGCAGCAAAATTGGCAATTCACAATTTACCGAAATCTTGCTCTTACTCAACTCGGAAACCGCATTGCCAGATTTCAGCTGTCTACTCTGAACAACCTTAAGTAGCCACATTCAGAGTGGGAGAAGGCGATCAACAACCTCTCGCAAATCGAAATACATGCCACAGGAGAACACCACGGCGGTTAAAATACAATCAAGTGGAAGGGTTCCCAACACCCGAGAACTGAGATAGCCAACGATGACCACAATAGAACGCTTTTAACATCCGCGGCTGTCAATACATAGTCGAAGCTTGAGATTCCCTTGTTGGACATGCCCCCATCAGCCCTAGCTGCGCATGACTTAGGCTAACGTACCATCACCTATAATTAAGGATTCCCGACGGAATCCGGAACGTCAGGAAAATAAAACTCTTGTTCCAGTGGTCACATCCTCTTCTTCTGAAATGATTTCTGGAACTTGCAATGCCCACATCAGTTGCAGCAACAGAGACCTGATTCTGAAGAACACCACCATCAACGTCAATCGAATCCTCTTTACTTTTCCGCAAGTTTCGGAGCCACTTCGACGGCAGTGGACATCATTGTGTACACAACAAAGAAACTAGGTTTACACTTGGAAGAAATCCTATTATCACAGTTAAATCCACCGCCCTTTTGACGTTGACATTTAGGGAAAGAGATTTGGTTTAGTGGAAACTGTTGAATTGGTTGTAATGCCCGCCACAAAAACACTTTACCTATCACTAAAACCGACGAAAATTATAACGACGGATTACTGTTGTACAGCAAATTATTAAAATTAAGCCACGGTAAATACACACTCGCATGACGAAAGTTTCCAAAACTTACAAAATTGATCAGAGAATTGAGACTTGTTGGCTACCTGATAGTCGGGATGGAGTGCACAGAGAAGGCAGAAATAAATGCCGCATGTGTATTGTATGCGCGTAATTTCCCAGACATGAAGAGCAGGGAAACAGCTTTGGCGATCGGTCAGCGGCCAAAAAGAGCAAATGCGGTGAGACAGCAACATTTGAGCACTGAGGAGACACAACTGGCTGGGTAAATGGCAATGCATACAGCTTCAACAGCATGCGACGATTAAACGCAAGTCCTTTCCTAAGCTGACAAGAATGTGGTACGCACAAAAGAAAACGTTCAATTATTTTGTAATGTTTAAACTCCATTTAGTTTAAAGCTGTCAGTGGTGTATAAGATCAAGGGCAAAACACCACAGTTGAGATCGAAGGTATGCACATCAAGTAACACGGGAGGGGATCTTATTAGCTACGGTCTCCTTTCACGGAACAAAAGATGCGTCACTATACTGATCGGAATTACGGACTCGACGGTGTGGGATTGACGGAACACAGCAGCAAAGAAACTGAAAACAACGAATGAGCCTCCCTGTTAAAACAGCTTTAAATTTGATCAGACGGAAATGATAAAAGAACTGCGACAAACTTTAAATAGTGTGTCAGACTGGATTGGTCGCTAACCTTTGCAAAGCATCGGAACAATGAGATTTTGAGACGCTTCTTGAATCTTCAAAGTTCCGAGAGGCAGAGGACTGGTTGGCAGAACAACCAAAAGCTGAAAAGGTCTCGTTGAAATCGCCAACTCGATTTGCAGGCTGGTTGGATGAGTCGGAAGCGAACTGTTTCTCCGATTGTTGCCTAATAATAAGGGTAATGAAGGTAAAAAGCATTAACAGCTACCAGATTCGGGAGAAAAATAAGCCAAGTCGTAGGTAGAAAACACTAAGAAGGATGGTGGGAAATATGGCTAACAAAACTAGGGAATAAGAGGACCTTTAGAAAAGAAACCTCACAAACAGGTACCATGTTGCATATACTTCAAATGCAGGAAGAAATTATTGTGAACCTCCGAAATTCTCAACTAGTAGACCCCGTGGACAAAACCAAAGCGTTATTTTCGGTAGCGGCTTGAGAAGTTGCGAGTAGTTTAGAGAAACTATTGATGTACTCAGCATTTAACAGAGGGTGCTTGGCATGATCTACAGGGCTTACAAATTAAAAGGAGCAACGAAACCCAGCTTTTCATGGTTAAACCGATTTGTGTTATACGGGGGAGGGTAAATGGGCTAGTCGCAATTGAAATGACAGTTATGGAAGGAAAGTAAGCAACAAGACGAAGAAAAAATAGAACGAGACTAAAACCACTTGAACAAATGCGTCATGATCCTGTTAATGTTAAACATATATATCGGTAAGGTTACGAATCCGGCCAGCTGAGACGCAAATATACGGAAGCAGAAAACAATCGTTATGAGAATACAAAGCATATCAAATCGAAAAGTTGGAGAGTGAACTCAAAATCGCCGGTCAGGTGTTTTTAGGAATATCCACAGGCATGACGTCTGGTGAAGCAGTTTCAGGTCGTTTTTCTGGATATGTACGAAGGAGTACGGAGGCAAGTTACAGCGCTTGAATGATCACGGGTTCCCCTAACGACTATGCAAGAGTATCCGAACTGGTAAAAATTCGATAAGATGACCG